ATATTCGTAGCGCTACTGACCGCCAAATCGATTCAGCTACACTATATCCTAATTAAAGATGGCTTCACAGAGGAAGGTATTACGAAATACTCTGCCACCTACAGCTCGCCGGAACCTACAGATCAAAATGCAGAGCCTGTGTGGAAATGTCATAATTTAACCAAACTCATCACCGTTTGTCGGTGTGTGGTTCTGCGGAATTATACGGTGCAGGATATTACGAGGGTTACTCGGAAAGTAATGATAATCAGTATCAGTTAATAATCATAAAATTATGCACTGATTTTTTAAAAACTGTAGCATTCATAACTAGATCATAGGGCAATGGCCGTGGCCATACCGCCTAAGGTTGGCGGCTAGCAAGGCTCTGAACATGGCTGGGTAGCGCTGATTTTTCACTGATCACTGAAAGCGTTGCCTTAATTACTGGCCAGTTTTCATGATATTATTTCGAAAAATTGATTTGCAGAGAGAAGTGTAGAATTTTTCATGCTGTATTGCCTGTTCTGTCGCCTTAATAAGGACCATTCTTTGCTGATGTTGCCAGTTGGTTCCAGCGAACTCCCACTGAGCACTCCGTTTTGACAACGGTGCTCAAATTTTGGAATATTTTTTGAGTTTCCACTTTCGAAAAGTAATCATAGTCAAAACCCTGATCGAGAAGGATCCTTTTCCGACCCCGAAGCAATAGCAGAGGGTCTAATCATTATGGAAGGAAAGGTGTCGAGAGTGTGCTGCAGCTGCTTACTGATAACGCAGAAGAAAATGGTTTCTGGCACGGTATCATCCGTGTGGTGCAATATCGCGAAAATCCACAGATAAGCACCCCGTCCCTGATTTATTTTTTTCTCGGCCTGGAGTAAAATTATCGTTCCACATTATTTTTCTTAGTTTACCTTAGTCCTTTATCTGTTCCAAATATTTCCTGGCTTGAAAAAATTGTTGCGGGGCAAAAAGTTTGAAATTATGAATAACTGGAAGAAAATATCAGTACACCGATCTCTAAGATACCGCCTAATTTCTTTTCGAAAACGTTTGATGAGTGGCTGTTTAGCTGTTTGCGTTGTATAGAGATTAAGGGACATTGTTTTGAGAAAATACGAGGAAAGCGCTGATGCAATAAAAAATCGTGCGATAGTTATCATTACTTTCCGAGTAACCCTCGTACTTGTAATATGGATGAATTGTTCGATTACGCCGAGTGCCCAGGGGAAGTACTTGGTTGGGCCAGGAAGTCAGATAAATGTCATACGTTTCCGATTACGATCCCGTATCTAATTCTGCATTCCGAATATGACAAAACCGGCATACTTCGCAAGTTTTTAGCAGCGGCGGAGATGCACCATCCTCCGATTGATGCAACCGTGTACGATCACGTACGGTCAGTCTGTCGGCGCTGGGTGAACGTTCTGGATTATCTGAATCAGTGGCGCTCAGTTCGACGCTTCTTTCAGCTGTAGGTTTGGCAAAGAATTAACGGAAGGCTTACTTAAAATTTATTCGTGCAGTTTTGTAGGTACTCTGGTTTCCGGTCCGATGGCAGTGAATATAATTGGACGGATGTTGATATGAGACGAGTGGATGTGTCCACTTTTTCCAAGATGGCACTCGTAGCACTTGCTTCTTCTTTTGCCGTGCCGTGATGAACGCACACTGCCCCTACGCATATCTGTTTATTCGAGCGCAGAAGTAAGCAAGATTTTATCGAATAAGTTGGGATAACGTAGTTACATATTCATATAGTATACAGTACAACTTTTGTTTTAATATTTTTTCTGTAACGCATGATGCATGTGCGCTATGCAGTGTACGAAATACGAATGCGACAGAAGCAAATTTTAAATGTACTACTAATATCCCCCTTAATACAACAATAATAACTGTGCAAAAGACAGCTATCGGAACGCGAACAACCAAGCTGCATCATGCATATCAGCTCTGTACAGAGTACGAGTTTCATGTTTCTCTCTTTTACATTTTTGGTATGGCTTAATTGGTTATAAAGTCGACTGGATAGAAGTTGCCAGTATGTCACTAAATTAAAAACTCGTTACCTGGAGTTGGATGTCTTGCCAGAAGACCGGAACCAGTTTTCCGCCGAAGCGGTCATGCCACAAACGACGGAATCGCCACTACATTGACTACAGGTCAACCATATACGAGCATGATATATGTAATTATGTATTATAGCATGATCATATGACGGTATCTTTGTGCCGCGTGGTGTTGTACAGCGCTGCAATTATAGACATTCCAAACACACGTACGAGTACTCAAACAAAGAACATTCTTAGAAGCACATTTTTTGTAGCACCATTGATAACTAACACTACAGCATAATTATAGAGGTACAGTATCAAAGGGCAGCAGAAGTTCTTAAATTTGGGATGTTTTGCGTATGTACACATAGTGATAGCAGTTGCACTTGCTTCACTCGAAAATTTGGTTTAACAGTATGTTACACGAAAACTTTCAAGCAACCGCAATTCAGATGCAGCAGTGACATGCAGAAGCGATTTCAGTACTGTCCATAGTCGGACTTATAGAAATAATAAGGTTTTCTGGGTTTGACCGTGCAACTATTTTCCGCACGAGTATTACCCCGCGGTTTCAAGTTAGGCTGTGTGTAGCTGCGCAAAGTATATTGACACTACGTTCAGTTACTGTTTACAGGTAATCTGTACGTCGGCAAACGATATCGCTTTATACAAAACATGCAAATAAGATATACTCCTTGGAACAAAGCCTCTACGCAACTCACGTACCAGGCAAGATACTGAACTCTGAGAGGTTGAATTAAATAAACTTGTATGCACTACAATCGGAATTTGTGCCGGAAGTGTAGGTTACCCCGTCTTTGGTCGTCCATCCGGAGTTGATCCACGATCCGAGCTGCTTGTCTTGACCTTGCAGTAAATATCGAGTATTGGTAGCTGAATCCACTTGATTGAACAGCTGACAAGCTTTCTCATACAGTTGCTGCATACAGTTGCCTATCGTTTGTAACCGATTATTGACCAGAACGATACCATCCTGCACCAGCGCCAGAAACGCACAGTCTCCTTGCGAATCTCCGCTACCCCAAACGGGCGCTTTGCCGTTGTGTCGCGGACGAATAATATTATTGGTAACCGTTGCTTTTCCCGGTCCCCACGTGATGGGGTAGTCCCCGCCCACCAACTTCCCGGTGAATTTCCCGTTGTCCATGGTAAACCGCACCCCGAGAATATTATTCTTAGGGACGTTGTACGTCAGGGAGTAGAAGGTGGCGGCCACATCGACGAAATACTGCGGCGATGCGGAGATAACGTAGACGCTCATGTTGCGTCCCTGGAATGCCCGCATGCTGGCTTCCTGGCCGTTGAAGATGCGCACACCCGTTGGATAGCTCCCTTGAATCCCATTGGACGAGGTGAACGACAGGGTGCTAATGGCCGCGTTCAAGTTGTAGCGGATACTCTGACGAATAAGATCCTTGATCTCGGCTTCGGTCATGCCAACTAATAACTGCGGTAAAGTTGTCATTGCTAGATTCTGAGCACACGGAAGAAAATCATCCCCGCCGTTGGTATTTTCCAGTGCAAAAACAAGGTTTCCGAATTTAGCGACAAAATCGTTATATTCCGTTGTTTGGCGAACGGCAGCTAAGGTCATGTTGGCCTGCAGCGTTGTTGTAAAGCAAGGCGGAGCGGTTGTGGATTGCAGGTTGTACGTTGGACCGATGTAAGCGTAAAAAAGTTTCAAATAATCTTGAGAAACATCTTGTATCAGTGACTGCAGTGTAAGTGCCTGGGTTGCTGACTTCCCGATAACCGTATTGATGCCTTGCGGTAAACACTGATCACCGTTACTCGCGTTATATCCCATGGCGAAGACGGTAGCAAATTGCTCCGGGAGAATACGGAAATTGAGATTCTGGACTTGATAGTAGATGGACGATTCGGAAATGTCGCCATACATACAGGTGTTGTCCCAGTCATACAGTGCATACGCTTCTCCCGGTTGGCGTATGTATGACACGGAATTAAGGACATTGTTGATAGCGGCGATGTTGTAATCTGGTGATTCGGCACCGTAAAACAGAGGTAGTGATTGTCCAGTAACGCTGCTAAGAAAACACGCTAAAGCAGCGAGTAACCGGCGCATCCTGCTGAAATAGCGTTAATGTTTGCTTTAAGAGATGCAGTGATTGTGTGACTGCTCTTGAAATGTACACGGGTCGAAGTTATCCAAAGCGCGAAATGAAACGCATGCAAAAATTGTCGCTTGCATCTGCTGTTATTTGCTTTGTTATTTTGTACTCAGTCATGACCAAAAAATTGTTTGCGCTCAGTCCGATGCTGGAAGTCCAGCAATTACGGCGAGCATATACTTATTTATTTGCTCACTTGTGTAAGCATTGTTAATTTAGGCCACCGCGCACAATACAGTGGATCGAACCGCATAGTAAAATTATTTGATTGAAACTGTATCCATTTCACTATAACAATTAACAGACACAACTGTTAGTCTGTTACGAACTGCGCAAGCAGTAAATCTCCTTATTTGTCAGACCTTTTGGCTTTGCTTTCACGAATGATTGCAGTTTACGAGCCTTTTTAAGCCGGATACCACGACATTGATACGTTTTGTCTCGGGAGGTGAAAAGCGGTTTTTACGGTTCGATGATCATTGTTGTAAAAATATCTCGGTACGTTGCGTTAGCGAGACGTACAACGTTCATATTGTTTGTGCATTCAGATCTTGACTTTTCGACCATAAAGTGCATTTTGCGGCTTGATAGACAATATACGGATCAAACTGGGCAGAGCTACGCGTGCAAATAAAAATTTTAGCGAATGGTTAAAATTAATCAGCAAAAAATGCGCATACTGTATTCGAGCAACTTTCAGTGTGTACAAGAAAGATTTTCCATTCTGTGTTTGCAGCCATATTTCTTAAGCCATAGAAGAAATTATTACTGTATAAATGACTAAAGGCCAGAGACAAACAACAAGTATTTAAGAAGCTGCTGCTGCAGCGCGATATCCACGAGCAATATTGGCAGAGCAGTTCGGTAATGGCGGAGTCGGGCATTCGAGAAAATTTGCATTTTGATCCTTACGAGGCAGATCCTGGGCGGACATGCAAAACGGGGACAATGCAATATTAAAGTTTTGGTCTATGCGGTACAGTGTACTCGCATCCAGTTGCGTCCATCGTGTTCGCGTGAAGGCGTCGAAAAGTGGTTTTTCGCAAATACCGGTATTGAAGTTGGGTTTGGCGCAGGTATACTTGAGGAACACACTATCCGGTTCGAAGTACACCGTTTGATAGAATCCTTCAACTACGACAAACAAAATACTATCCGAAGACGTATCTGTATATCTATCCGAAAACTATCGGAAAAACAAAATATCCATCCGAAACAGGTGAAAATGGTAAAGGTTCATTTACTCTTGTTGCTGGTAGAAACTGTAGTGCGGATGCTTGAATACTTTGCGTACTGTTAGCGTAATAATTAGTAATAGTTAGAGTATTTTGATACACTAGAGCAAAACTAACGGCGCCAAAGATTCGATTCCAAAAGCTCAAGCACGACAAGGTTCGTACCTGGGGTATCTGCATTATTTATCCATTGGAGACCTTGAAGAGCCCCTTTGGCGATGACCTTCCCCACCCAGGTTTCCGCAGTGCAGTGAGGTTTGTTGGGATCCGGAGAATCATTGAACATCACGGTGACCAGCTGGGATACTGCACGCTGATTGACGTATAAAGCATAATCATTTCCGAGGAATTCGAAGTTCATTCTTCCATTCACTGGGGTTCCATCGTAGTTATTGCGGTATAAATACCACGTACCCAGATACTGAAATTTGAAAAAAAAAACACAGTGTCATGTGCGTAATTTGGTTGCATACAAGAACTTCTGAAACCATGCGCCAGTAAGTACCTGCTCTGGAATAATGGGTATATTGGGAATAACGTTAGGTACGCCACACCGGTAGCGAGAAGGACTGCTATAGTTCACGTACGCATTGCCGGTTTGGTACAAAGGGCTCTTTTGGGAATCTCCTGAAAATAATTACATCGTACTTCCTTCGTTACAGCAACACTTAAATACATACAAATACAGCAGTAAGAACTGTTGGTTCAGAATGCTATGAGATAATGTGAATACATAGACCAAGTCTGTAACAGTGTGCATGAAATAAAATTAAGGAATTCGATTGTATGTATACTGGCGACCAGGAATTTTCGTTAGAGTGACACAGAAGTACCGTTACACGTACCGATAGGCAGGAAGACAAGTACCAGGACAAAATGTGCTGCTGCAATTTCCATTATAGCACCGTTTTCGTATCCAGCCAGCGAAATCGGGACACTTTAGTATAGTCTCGGTAGTTACTTTCTTTTGATGAATATTATTTATGTATCAATTTTACGGGTTGCAAATAATTGTGCAAGCATAAACATTTACAAACCCAAATACCTGTAATGTTTTGCAGCTTAAATTATTACTGCAGCCTTATAAGCTTATTACATACAATGATACAATTAGACTCCTAATAAAATAGACATGATACGGCTCCCAACTGCCCTGAACCCGCTTGCGCCAATACACTTTGACCTCGCACTGCAAAAAATACACCATTGTGAAGTGTTCCCGTTGCCGTTGTTTTGATGTTATGTGTTTTGTATGTCTTTGGGGCACATTCTGGCTGCTACAAATTTGTACAGTATAAATTTTGCAGCAAAATAGGTAATTATCTCGTACGGTCAATTTTAGGTTCGTTCGTTACAGAAAGGAACGCTGTGATAAAAATACAAGTAGGACTGCCAATATTGATACGAGTATACTATTGTAGAATTAACTTTGCAGAACTATAATAAACTAAACTGCGGCATTTTCATGCAGTATTACGGTGTTATAATTATTACGTGCTTGCTGTCGCTTTTTCTGCTGCATGATTTTAAATCTCATCAGTAATAGTTAATATGGATATTATTTCGTCAAGTTGAGAGTAATGAGTATTTTTGCACGCTATAAAGTTCAAGTACCAGTGTACCACAACGCATGCTTTGTTGTAGTACAACCGGAAGTGAAGAGGTGGTCGGTTTACACATGCTGTGCACACTGGCAACAGCATACTGCAAAGTGCAGAGTCATCTTGCACAGCTGTTAGAAAAGCCTCTATCGGTGAAACCGGTTATCGTCAGCCGACAACCAGCTGGATATAGAAACGTTTCTTCGCGTGTGTAGAAATACTTTTCGCGTCAATAATCTTGATTGATTTTCATTAAAGCCTCATTTTTACATAAGTTTCAGGTTGCCTTTACCGCGAAAATGTCCAAGCCTGTGGTGGGATACTGGGAGATTCGCGGGGTAAGTTGAAAAATGTGTAATGTGTATAATAAAGTTTAAACAACATATCAGATTTTTATTTATTCCAGAGTAGTTTCCTGGCTGTTTTGTTGATATTTCTACGGTGCAGTTTTTGGTTGAAATGCAGCACATTTGAGTGTTGTAGTTTGTTATGCCGATTCGCTACCTTCTGGAATACGTCGGACAGGAATACGAATTCAAGAGCTACAACTTGAATGACCAGAATGGTAATTATTTGTTGCGGTTTTTATAACGTCCTTGCATCGTATTGCGCATCGCAAGCACCTGTACGTAAATTACTTACAGTTACTTGAAGCAGTAAAAATTATTTCTTTTGCAGAGTGGCGACAGAATGATAAGCAGAATCTCGGCTTGGAGTTTCCCAACGTGAGTAATTAATTTTAAGAACAACCTCTTTAGAGTACTACAGTATTTGGAACTTAATAAATAATTGTACAAGTTTGTAGGTAATGTACGGGTTTTATTTTTTAAACAGCTGCCTTACTTCATCGACGGAGACTTGAAAATCACCCAGTCAAACGCCATCGTTCGTTACCTTGCGCGCAAGCATGGGCTCAGTATGTACAAAATTATGGCGCTTGTTAAATTATAAAGTTGAAATAACGCAATTTATTTCTGGTGCCGCCGACTTTTTGGAGAAAGTGGGATTAACATTCTTGATAAATCTTTTGTGAGCTAGTTTATTAAATTTTTAACTATAAGCTACGTAAGTAACTGCAGTATAAATTATCTGACTTAGCTATGTATGTTAATAAGCTTGAGAAAAATATTCATCAGAGAAAATTTCTTCGTACGCGCTATTCTGATAGTGGAAGAAGATAAAAATTTCTTCGTCACTAATCGAATCTTTTGTAGTTGCCAAAAACGATGAAGACGCTCTGGAACAGGACACTATAGACGGTATAGTGTGGGATCTGATGGTGCAGTGGAGTTGGCTGTGTTATTTTACACCGGATTTTGTATGTCAGCCACATGAAAATTCGTATTTTTTATTTTCTATTCTGTGCTTTTTTGTTGTTTTATAAATTATTCCAGGACAAAGAACTTCAGACTTACCGCAGTGGCAAGCTCATGCCAGTTCTCCAACAACTCGATAAACATCTACAGAATCGCGATTACTGTGTGGGGAATTATCTGACTTACACCGATTTCGGTTTATACGAGGTGCAGTCAATTATTTTCCAATATTTTATGAAAACTGAAATTTCCATATTATTGTTTATCCTTAGCGTCTGGACGGCAATAATGAATTGTTTCCCAACATTCTGGATGACTATCCCAATGTGAAGAAGTTTCATGAGCGCATAGGCGTAAGTAGTCATAATATTATGTACGAGTAAAATAATATAATAATTAGTATTATAAATAACTGTACCGTTGTCTAGTTTTTTGCTTACTTATGGAGTTTTATGGTTATGGTTTATTTAACACGTGTAATTAAATTTCAGAATTTAAAAGGCATCAAAGAATTCCGCAATTCCAAGCGATTCAATCGGGTGCTCAACGCCGATTTTGCCAAATGGAATGATAAATAAGGCGTTATGATGTGAACTCTGTGACGCGCTATGATTTTTGCAAAATACCAAAACATATTATTGATACCGTAAAACCCGATATTAACGCCCTGGGCCTTTATTTTTTCGAGAGCTTCGGGAGGGGGCGCTTAAAACCGCAGGGGGCGTTTATTACGGGGGGGCGTCTAATGTTTCAAATGAATAACGCGCTCATGTTATTTCATCTTTAACAAGATTAATATGTATGTACATTACAGGAATACTTCAGTAAAAATGATATCCGTTAGAAAATCATGGTTTAAAGGGTGTGCATAAGTGGAATTAATGAACTTAGCAAAATGTACCATTCAGACTGTACCGACAACAGGCTAAAAAAGCGCGGCGCCGCATCTTAATAGGCGCCCCGGGGCGATAATTTCGGGGGGGCTTTTATTATTTCGTGACCTACGGGAGGGGGCGTTTAAAACCGCACGGGGCGTTAATTTCGGGGGGGCGTTAATATCGGGTTTTACGGTATGTAAAATGAATTACATTACCTGATCACGATGCCGGTAGTGACATCTCACCGTTGATGCACACGTGCAATGAGATAATGAAGTTAGCGTATTGCGTACGTTATTAGAAAGTTAAAGTTAGATTTTCCTAACGATATTTTACCACAATTGCACATCGTCAGCATTAATTATGTTTTAAATGTGATTAAATGTGATTAAAATTGATTTAAATGTTTTAAATTAGGCTGTTAGTTATTTTTGTTGTCATCCTTCGATACATCGGTACATATATAAATAGACCATGTGCGTTGGTTACTTGTATGGCCGACAAGTAAGAATCCATCTATACAAGTTACGTCATGACCGAACCCACAACGCGGCGATTCGCTGCCGCGCAAATTAGATGTATGTTTGGATGAGGGCGGAACCAAAAATCCATACACATAAGGGCCTTACGTGTATGGATGATAACTCCACCTCTTGCGCATTTTTGGACCTGGCATACATATCGTGCAGCTACGAAGCAGTAAGCACTTGTCCGTGTAGTAAATCCATGGGCAAAATGTCCGAAAATTACCGAGCTGCCCATTTCTGAAAACTTTATAGTTCTTTGTTATTTGATTGAATTAAAAAATCAACAATTTACTTCCAATAATTTCATTTAGTGAAAATGTCTGCAAAAGAACCAATCTCAGCGGATACGCATATATTTTTTACCGACCCTAATAAACCCGGGCAAGTGTTTGCGATTAAGCGCAATCAAAACGCACCGGCGAACGGACAAAGTACATCTTTAGCAGAGGCCTATCGTAAATCCTACATGAAATCCTACCAGCCATCCACTGCTGGCACACAGTCGGAAAAGGAATCAGAGCCAGGTGCAGTACAAGCTCCAGTTCCATCTTATTCCACTGGACTTCCGGGAGATGTTGAAGTTGAAACGGAAGGTGATTACGACAATCCACAAAAGCCTGGAAAACCGGCTGAGCCTGGAGATCCGGCTGAAATTGAAGAATCGGGCGATGGAGAAGAGGCTCTCGGAACGCAAACCAGGTACAAACGCAAGCGAATTCCTGCAGACGAAAAAACCTTGAATAAGCTGAAAGCGGTGCTGGAAAAGAATCCATCTGACTATCCAGAAAAATCAGTGGAGCGAAGAGAAGCGTGGGTTTCAGCTGTAAAATTAGCCAACGGAGATGATAAAATCAACGTTAGAGAGACCGACATAAATGCCATCAAAGCTGTGGTGCAACGACATTTGAAGACGTATAAATCCATCGATAACGAAGATCGCCCTACGGGAACGGAAAGAGACATCGAAGTCTTTGACGAATATATGCAGGTAAATCCTGAATGTTTTAGCTGTTTCATTCTGCATTTGTTTTAGTTTAAACACGTAGATGTGCTTGCCTTATGCAGCCGGCTATCCAGGCTCATTTACGTTAATGTCGTAAAATTATATTTACTTATCGTTAACTAAGCAGCGTTCTCCCTTTTTTGTTAATTAAGTTTGTATTTATATTTTTCAGAATTTTTGTTGCGCTTTCACATTTGAACTTCTGTGCGTAGTTTGCTTGACGTGTATATAATTTGCTAATTTACGTTTGACCAGGTCATGGAGCAAATTTCTAATTATAAAGAATCGGCACCTCTGGCTATTCGCAAACCTGAAAAGGCAAAAAAAGATGCTGCCATTGCCATACGTGCAAGGGCAACTAAGCTTGCAATGACAAGTGGAATGTCCGTGGAAAAGTTTGGCGACTTAATGGACAACGGATTAGGTGGCCATACAGACAGCTACGATGCAGATTTTGAGAATGGCGATTTAGCCGAACGCTGCGATGACATGCGATTTGACAGTACGTAATACTGAAAAAATGCAAATTTTTTGAATTATTTACCCTGCTCGAGTCAACGGGTGTTTTTTTTGCTGTACTTATAAGACTCGTTACTGCTTTGCAGAGGACGAGTTATTGACAGTTGGTGAGGACGGTCAATTTGAATCATTTTCCACGCTGGATAAAAAAGCCAGGCTATCCGGCTGCGACGAAAAAAGCCTTTTGAAAAGTTCCAGCGAAGAAATCTCAGTCGCGAATGAAAGCTTTATGAAAGGCGCTATGGCTACTGCAAGAAAAGCCGGAAAGCCGGCTGGTGTTCAGACACCGAAAAAGTCACCTTTCAAAGGCATTAAAGAAGTTGCTGAAGCAGCGCGAAGAAAAGCAACCCACATTCGCGGTAGCAGACAGCAAATAGCTGCTTTGGCTGGTGGGCTGCAATCGGCAGTGGAAAAGATGTCTGACGGAGAACGCATTACTAGCGCTATGGAGCGGGAAGAGCGGGCCTTAGATCGTGCTGCGGAAAAAGAAAAAGCCGATGCTGATCGAGCGGAGCGGATTCAAAAGGACAAAGAAGACCGTGCGGAAAGAGAATTAATTCGACAACAGCAAATCGAAAAAGAGGAACGAGACAGAGCCGAAAGAGAAGCCGTTCGAAAATTGGAGCTTGAGCGGTTTAAAATTGAAATGGAACATCGCGAAAAAGAGCAAGAAAAACGATCGGATGAAGTCAAAACGTTAATTGGATTCATGGGCGATTTTCTTAAAAAATCTAAAACTACAAAAAAATCTCAGGCGTCTGAAAATGTTAAAATAGCTGAGTAAACATTTTATTTTTATTCAGAAAAATACTTGACAATAAAACGTTAAAATCACCGCCGGCTATCCAGGCTTCAGCCGGTTATCCAGGCTTTCTTCGGTGTTCCTTTGTGCGAAGGTAATCCTCCAGTGATGGTGGAAGTACGAAATATTTTTGATAAATTAACTGAAACCCGTACAAGCAAGTCAAACAATTGGCAAGTATAGCAGAAACAAGATAGGTTTTCCCAGTCTGCTGCCAGAATAATTTGTTGTTTTCTCGGTAATTACTGAACGCAAACAATGAACAAATCCTTTGGAACCCCAATTCCACTGCTATTCGGCATCTGGACATTACCAGATTAAATCGTTCTTCCGCTGGTGTGATTCGCGGACCTTTATAAGGCACTTGTATTTCCTCAGAAAGGCAATACCCTTTATCGCCGAATAAGCAGTACGGCTTTCCCCATTCAAAATTTTTCACTTGCAATCGCTCACGTATTCTGGATTCACGAGCCATATATCCGTCATGTCGGCTACCTTCACACGGTCCCCACATGTTTATAATGAGTCCATCCGGAGCAACAATACTTTGATATTTCATGACGTGACCGCGGCAGTGACCGGAATAGTACAATCGTTGCAAAAATCCTGGTCGACAGATAGGACGCGCGGTGCCGTCAATAAAACCCCAGCAGTTGCCTGCAATTTATAAAAATGTTTTCAAAATGTTATCTTCATGGTCACCCATGATCAGCCGGCTAACCAGGCTTAAACGTTACCGTAAATTCCTTCGCTTGCTCTTTTCACAGCGGCAGCGTAGACCGCTATGCGTTCTTTCGACAACCAGGGTTGGGTCAACGAGTTTAAAAGGTGGCCGTGCTTACTGTAAATGATGTTAATTGTCGCGTTGTAAATTCTTGATAACTGGCTTTTTTCACGACCGAGCAGCTCCATGCAATCTCCCCATCGATTTGGATAAGCAAGTCTTCTTAAGACGACAGCTAGGCCGAAGCGTCCGCTCACCTTCGAGTTGTTGCTGCAGTGGATGACACTCGGTATCATAAGTGCACGGTACAGCCTTTCAAAATCATTGTAGCACTCTAGTCGAAAAAAATGCTTGAACTTGTCGTTTTCCATGGATCGCAAATCCAGCTCGTGTCTCACATAAAACTTCTCCAGTTCTTTTTCTTGACGATCCACGATAAACGCTGCTGCGGCATAAAGCAGTAGGAGCCAGGTTTTCCGGCTGTATTTTTGTCGTCCCTTAGTAATCAGAGCTCGGCGCCTTTGTTTCAATTTAAATCGCAAAGAAGTGTCATTCTTGCGCGCCATTTTGGCAAAACTTAGATAAGGTTCACAAAATAACTTAAAACCCTATATTAAACTGTTTGCTGGGAATAAATTTGACTTTTTGTGTACGATTTTGTACCGCCGGCGATCTGCAGTTACGTAAACTTGATCAGTTTCAGAATTTAATCATTTCCAGAGTCACGTTGGTTACTTGGAACTTACTGTCGGCTTATCGTTGAGCTTTTCATCAAACAACACTCAATAAAAGAATCACTGCCAGTTACTAAACTTTCATGTAAATATGCGAGGAGGTAAACACAAAACCGCGTTAACAAAACACCACAGATTCCAGTGAGAAAAAAATAAAACAATCCAATCATTCCATGGCTTTTGCATTTGCAAACCTGTAATCAGGTGAATAGCCAGGTTATCCGGCTCGCTAACGTTCGGTAGAGCAGATTGATTATTTAAAATAATTACCTAGAAACGAATGTTTCGGTGGGCACGCAATTTTTCGGCCCAGACATCCTCCCACTGGCGATCTTCGCGACGGCGACGTTCCGCCCGCTCGCGGTCCTCGCGTCGATAGCGCTCTTCACGGGCGTTTCGCTCAGCGCGAGTTTCGTTGTCGCGTAGGGCACGTATTTCTGCATCTTCCGCTCTGCGATCCTCTTCCATGCGGCGCACAGAGCGTTCTTTTTCCTGAAACAGCAGCAATCAATAAATAATTATAAATTGTTTTAATTTTCAACTTTGCCTCTGCAGTATCGCCGGATATCCTGGCTGAATTGTGTGCTGAAATTAAGTATTACCTCCAAAGATTCCTTGAATTTTTTTGCTCGTTCCCCGTCACGTGGCTGAAATCGGCGACTGTTCCAACGGCGGCACTGACTGGTAGTGTGCCCCGGGTCTGGCTTTCGACAGTTGAAGCACACGTATTGGGTTTCTACAATAGGAAGAACTACGCCAAAAAGTCAGTAACTTCTAATAATTATGTACCTCGTTGCACAGCCGGATATCCTGGCTCAGCCGGAGTGCCAGGCTTTGCGCGCTCACTCGGCGTCTCTTCCTCTTCGCTTTCTGCTCCAGCCGGAATAACATCGGCGCTCGCTGCAGCCATCCGCTTGAAAGCTGAGCCATACGTTTTTATCATATACGTAAGCGCGATACAGGCACAGGTTAAACCAAGTCTTACCTGATTCCACTTTTTTAAAAGCCTCTGCTTTGTTGTCGGACGTATTCCACTCCTGCATGAGAGTCTCGATATCTATAAAATCAAACTTTACAAAATCAACACAGTACAACGCAAAAGCAAGTGCAAAAGTGAAAAGCAAGTATGTGCAAAGCATTGTACGATAACCGAAATCATTCATTTCGGAAACCAGTCATTTCGGACACTAGTCATTTCGGAATCCAGTCTTCGAAACACAGAAATATTTTTTGAATAAACTTACCCGTTGTGTCTCCCGAAACGTTGGCCGTATCAGAGCGTACGGACAAACGCGACACGCTGCGTGGAATAAACACCATTTTGAATCCGCCGACCAAAGCTCGGTTCTTCGCTGATCACACAGTTCAGATTGCACCTGACTGACACACTTTAGAAATAAAAGGTGCAGAACTATACCACAAACTAAACTTTATCAGAAGCTACAGAATTGATCTGATCTACAATCAGGTGTAAACATCAAGAACCTAGTGCTTCAAATGACACTAAAAAACGTGACAATTAAAATTTAAATTCGATAAATTTTCAACATCGACTGGCAGTCGGATCGGTTACTTGTATGTGTATATGCGAAGTAGCTTGCCATGCCGCACACCAGCGCGTTCAAACACGTTCCGACCCATACATACAAGCCAGTTTTCAGGCGGTTCTAACGTTAGTTATATGTATGCATGCGTAATTTGTACACATACAAGTTGCAGCGCTAATGCACTAATGACGACACTGCCATTTGCAAATGCGGAATGCCTAAGCGAAACGCATTACATGTACAACAAGATATTCGCTTCTGTTTATTTAAGATTTGCCGGTAACTTTATCGCTACATTTCCTTTGCACATTCAGTTCCATGAAGCATGACTTCATCGCAATGACTACAGCACAATGGAAAAATAAAAAAAACAGAGTGAGCCATTCAAGGGCTCTTCAAAGAATCAAAACCGGTTCCATCCTTTTCTCTTGCGCTTATGCATGCGATTTTTCTCTTTTGAACATGCTTCCCTGGATGCCATTATTATCATCTACAGTCATGCGGAATTGCAGAAAATAATATTAAGTATCAGGAGTCGCCAGTAGTATCTGTACGTTTAAAATCAGGCGCAAACGTATCGATGTATTGTACTTTAAATTGCCATATACTACCATAATTATTATTATAATGTACCTAATTATTATTATTATCTGTAGACTGTTGGTACCGTTCTGTACTGTTTATTATTAAATTTATCGTTAGATAAAAAATAATTTTATGCCGCTGTGTTGAACACGCTGTACGAGTGCCATCGCGAGAATTAAAAAGGCAAAGGCTACTAGTACGTACAAATGGGTGACGTACTTGCACGTACATCGGTATTTAATACGTTTTTATATCCGCTTGCGCACACCTGTCAACTGCGCAGGGTAGGTGCACGTACTACGTGAATCAAGCCTCCACTCCCAGGCATCGCGCGATTAAAATCGCGTGCACAGACGCAACCGAGAAATTTGCCTATAAAACGGAATCCCTTCGCTTGCAACCAGCTGATAGTCTGCTTTCTGCTGTCGAGTGCGCTGGTTCAGCTTGGATTCGTCGTAGATTTTTCCATTTCGGCTTTTTGATTTCGTGTATCTTTTCCTTTTCGTTAACAAAATGGCACCAGTTTTGGGATATTGGAACATCCGTGGAGTATGTGTTGCTCTTACTTGTTAATTTGTGAAAATTTGATGATAGTCACTTTGACTTGACGCATTTTCATTCCGCATAAATAAGAAATATTCGAACCAACACCATATGTTTGCAGTTGGTTACTCCTATCCGCTACCTGTTGGAGCATGTCGGACAGGAATACGAATGGAAAGGATACGATTTCGAAAATGCCGATGGTCCGCTGCTTTGTTGATATTTTTCCCATATTACGGTGTCACAGTTGTTTTTGAACATTTTCCTCTCCGCAGAATGGAAAAACAACAAGGAAAAGCTGGGAATGGAGTTTCCCAACGTGAGTATCTTATATTTCGATATTTCTCGTAATTTTTGCCAGTTTTCCAGCTTGTCATGTGTAAATATTTAAGTATTTCGTTTCTGAAGTTTTCTTTTCCCATAAAAGCACTGCATTAGTAGCAGTTAGTGCTAGCAGTAAGCACTTAAAAAAATGGTTGAAATAATTACGCAAATAAAGCAGAAAAAAGCGAAAACATTATGTCAATTTATGTGAGAAAAATTTATTATGTTTATAGCTGCCATACTACATCGATGGCGATCAGAAGCTGACGCAGTCGCATGCTATCCTCCGTTATTTGGCGCGAAAGCACGGTCTCAGTAAGTCCAGCTTTTATCGGTTTATTGCGATTTTTTGTATTAAATAAGTAATTAATTTTTGTCATCATTTACTGCTGTAGTTACGGTTGAATCAGAATTTTATCTTATTTCAAATAAATTCCACGATTTTAGACAGATAAACTGTAACCAGCGGATCTTTAGTAGCAACTACAGATAATCTGCGTATTTGTTTTTAAGTTTGACAGCCTAATTATTAAAATATTATCGAAAAAATGAATGTAAAATAACTGCAAAATGTGGCGAAAAATTTTATGCGCCGTTTTGAACTCTAATACAATCATTTGTTTTGTGCATCAGTGCATGTATCATGATGCATGTTGAAAGTTAATTGAAATATTTCGATTTTAAAGTTATTTGAATTGTTTTGGATTCTAAATTGAGTTCATTTAATTTTTAATGTCAGTGCAACTGCGCTCAAGGTGTTTAGGGATTGTAACTTGATACGTTTGCAGTTGCAAAGAACGATAAAGACGCGCTGGAGCAGGACATCATTGACGGTGTGATTTTCGATCTGATCATTCGATGGGGTTGGCTGTGCTATGGCGCCAATGATTTGGTAAGTGCCTGGAATTATTTTGGTTTTTTGCACGCTTTAAATCACATTTTGAAATATTCAAAATGTTTTATGTTTTTCGTGACCGAATTCAGCAGTATTTAATTTGTTTTCCATTAATTCAGTAGAATTTGTTTTAATGTTTCCCATTAATTGAATCCAGTGTTCAGGTTTCTCACTGTGTTTCTGTTACAGTCTACAGTCCTAGAATAATTATTTTGCTCATTACGATTTGTAGTTGGTAAACATTTCATTATGTATTGCACATTTGTATTTGTATTAATTTTTGTTTTATTTTTTTTCCAGGAGAAGGATAAAGCGGCCTACCGCAGCGAACAGCTGACTCCCATTCTGAAACAGCTGGAACACCATCTGAGCAAGCGTGAATACTGCGTGGGGAATTATCTGACCTACACCGACTTTGTTCTATACGAGGTATGTAACGCACACTTCCTGCATTTAAGTATTTATTTCTCCATCCGTCTGAGTCGGTGCTGGACGTGGTGGTAGTTGGATAGATTAATCAAATAAACAAGTAACCAGCCGGCTTGTTATCTGTTTAGCGCCTGGACGGCAATCAGATTATGTTCCCCGATATCCTCGATAACTTTCCCAATCTGAAGAAATTCCACGAACGTATCGGGGTGAGTACAGTAAATTCGCGGTACTGTCGTGTTTGTGAAACACGTTTAAGAACAAGAGTATGTTGGGTCGGAAATTTGGAATGCTACTTCGTTTGAAATGACTTGCAGTCGGTACAGTTAAATCAAGTTTATGGTTACGTGACGTACGTCATCGCCATTATCTCCTGTCATTTGCAGTTTCTTCATTTGAATCACAAATTCTTCATTTGAATCTATTTACTGAGTTGTGCTCGCTGATGTGCATATTGTGAAAAAAGTTGAAATTTGCAGTTTTATATGCGCAGCTACAACGTCTGTTATTATGCGATTAAATGCGTTTTTCACCGCTTTCAAATTGATCGTAATTAATTGGAAATTACCAGTACAAGTATTAATTTTCCAGATATTTCTTGTCGCGCATTTTTTTCCAATTCGGGAGTGGCATGTTTATTGTTTTTTTCTGATTGTTTACAAAAATGTTTATAAAAAATCCTTATCCGGTTTTAAAACATATTAGTTTAACAGTTAAGGAAAAGAATCCATTTATTTGAAGACTGAGTGCGTATTTATTTCTTGCAGAATCTGAAGGGCATTAAGGAATTCCGCACTTCCAACCGTTTCAAGAAAGTGCTGAACGGAGCCATTGCCAAATGGAACAACAATTAATTTCTGTTTGATTCGCTGATGAACGGGCGTTGCGTTGTCGGTGCTTTACGAGTATATCCTTTTTTGGCTACAGCATGCTTTGTATGTCACGTTAATAACAGTTAAATTCATGCTTGGACTTTTCATACGCAGTCTGTGTGGCACGCTTCTCAAGGTTACGGTTGCGGGAAATAACTGAATAAAATAATGATGTTCCATCGTAGAGCAGGAATGTTTATTAGCTTCCGCTGTACAGAGTATAACACAGAATGCAACCAACATAAATTCTCGTTCACAACACACTCAC